TTTGGGTTTAGGGTTTTCAGGGTTTAGGGTTTAGGGTTTAGATTTCAGGGTTCAGGGTTTAGGGTTTTGTAGTGTCTAGAGTTTAGGGTTTAGGGGTTTACGATAAGGGGTTGTGGGTGCAAGGTTTAGGGTTTGTGATTGGGGCACTACGGTGTTTTAAAGGTGTTTATCAGGGTACTTACAGGGCTTTCACATGGAATTTGCATTGAACTTATAGGAATCAGTTTTCGTTCTCTGTTTTCAAATGTGAACGAAAAGGGGTCCTTTATGCTGTAATATTTTTGTTCTGTGTACAAAGGGGTTTTTCTGCAGTTGTTTTTTTTTAATCCGGGTCTCTATAGGTGGTTTACCAAGTTTACCACTCAACCCTGAACCTAGGACATTTTCAGGTGGGTAGTTACCGTTACAGGAGCCTTATAGAAGGTATAGAGTCTATATACCTTTTAGTTATAGAAGCCCCACACACCCTAAACTCCCCATCTGTAGTTTCCTTTAACTGCTCCCTAGCTTTCGCTTCAGTTGTTGGGGATCTGGAGCTGGTTCGGGGCAGTAAATGTCATGGCTGAGTCTACTTAGTTCCCTAATACCTAACCTCTAAGCCTTTTGGGGTCTTCTGATTTAGTACTAGCCATCCTAAACCCTATACCCTAAACCCTACTGTAACCTTATTTCCCTGGCTGTTGGGGAAGTAAGTCTCGGGGCACAGGGATTGGCACAAGGTTTTTGGGCCTTCCAGGGTGCTTGACGGGCGTTTGGGGCTCTAGGGCTGGGAAACATTTAGGGTTTAGGGTTTAGGGGTTGGTTCGGGCGTGTCCAGGGCATTGAGGGGTGAGCGTTGAGGTTCTGATTAGTTCGTGGCCGTGGTTGAAGTTTTGTTGGGCCGAAGCGTCCATCCATGTCGCATCGGTTCAGTGTCACCGGGTCAAGTCATTTCCATGAGACGTGATTCCACCATCCCGAAACGCAAAGCCCCGAATTCCACCATGGACCATGTTTTCTTCCCTTACAAAAGGCTTCTATATACCATAGCATAAGCATATTACATTAATTTAGACTGTACTATCATGTAATATGAAAACTGATACTGCAATAGAATAATATGTACCGTAATTACTGTAATACAATAAAATATACGGTAGTAGAAACATATAGATTAATACATACTGATATAGAGTAACATAGAGTAACATAGAATAATTTAGAATAATATAGAACAGTATAGAATGATATAGAACAATATAGAACAATATAGAACAATATAGAACAATAGAGAATGATATATACCACCACCTATCCCCGAATCTGAGGTACGCCCACAGCCCGCGGTTCAAGGTGATTGACGAGGACGAAGGCCCACCGCATCCTTCCAGTGCCGCTTTCTTGGGCGTCGGGGGTTATCGGGTTCTGGGTTTAGGGTTTAGGGTTTAGGGTTCAGGGTTTAGGGTTTAGGGTTTAGGGTAGCGTGTAGAGTCTAGGGATTACTTGGAGGGTCGGGGGACTTAGTAAGTGGTAATAAGTAGACTTATAAGTACCCTTAAAGAGATCCTAATTGGGGTTATGATACTTATAACTCTGTAAACTAACTACTTACTAAGTCCCCCGACCCTCCAAGTAAGGTTTAGGGATTAGGGTTTAGGGCTAAAGGTGTGCCTTACTTCTAGATAGATCCGTTCCAGAAGCGCGGGTAGCTGTGGCCTCTGGGTGGACCCAGATTCCGAATCTCTTTCACCACAAACTGTGACTCAACAAGCAGAAAGTAATCACAAAAAGCCCTTCGCCAAAAGCCTTAGAGATAGTTGCCAAAGCCGGAACCATGTCAGTTTTTGGAGACTCCCATGAAGGAAAGCTGTGGATGGATGGATGGCTGGATGGATGATGGATCCCTAAAACCCTAAACCCTAAACCCATACACCTTCGCAGTGATTGTTTTACTGGCATGTCAAACGTGCGGAAAATTACAGGAGACCTCCCCCAAGCCGATCGATCACTTGAGCTATACACTTTATGCTGGGACATCGGGTTTCGGGTTTAGGGTTTAGGGTATCCCTACTCTTTGAGCTAAGGCATCGGTAAATCCGCTGTAAGGTTAAGAGTTGTGGGCGGGAGTTTGGGGTTTAGAGTTTTGAACACCGATTTTGTGAGGTTTAGGGTTTATGGTCGGGTATGGGGCAGACGAGTTTGTGGGTTTAGGGTTTGGGGTTCGGGTCCGTGTATAGCGGTGCTGTTTTCACCTCGTGGTTCGAGGCTGTTAGTTAATTTTCAGATATTGGGCTTCTCTTAAGGGCTCCTTTAAAGGATTTCGGGTTTTAGGGCGATGCTTTAGAGTGGATCCTTTGGTAGTAGCACGATTCGGGCCAAGGGCTGAGACATGGCGTCTTTACCAGCAGCCCAGAATCTATATACATGTGTATATATATATATATAATATATATATATATATATATACACACACACTGTTATATATCACATAACATATGCACGGTCGTCATCTTTAGTGCCGGCATGCGAAAGCCAAGCCACCAGCAACATTGGTGAAGAAGGAGCCGAAGAGCCCCGAACACCCGCTCGCGCTCACGGGAGGGTTGGTGCCGCGAATCACGGAATCTGAAGAAATGCCGGATGAGGAGGCTTTTCGCTGGATGCTGGACATGGGACCGGAGGCTACAAACAGCTCATCGCCTACTCCAGGGCTGCCGACGTCGCCACCCCGCCGGTGTGGCAGCCGGCCGTAGCCACAGACTACCCGCAGATTTCCTACATCCTGTGAACCCAGTCCCGGACCCCATTGTAACCTCTAACGGCTCAGCGTGTAGGAGTTGGGGTTTGGGGTTTATCGTTTGGGGTTTACTGTTTACCGTTTGGGGTTTGGGTTCATAAACACTAAACCCCAAAACCTATCCTGTAGGGTTCTTTCGATGCCAAGCTCTAAATTCAAGGGACTAAAGGAGGGACCCTTGGGGTTATAAAGGGGCTTTATGAGACTACATAAATAATAGGGGTTATATCAGGGTTATATAGGGTGTTCGGATTAGGGGTCCCTTCTTGGGGTCCCTCCTATACCCTAAACCCTAAACCCCTTTCTCTTGTCCCTTAATAAATGCGCGCAGTCCGGCCTTTGCCAGGTCCCACCTTCCAGATTATCCGCGGCCTGAGGCAAGTGGCGAGAATCAGGGCTGGCGCGGTTTAGGGTCTAGGGTCTAGGTTTAGGATTAAGGGTTTAGGGGGTTCCTTTCAATTTAAAGGTACCACCATTAAGGGTCCATGTACCCAAATAGTATGTAATTTGGCTTTGAAGTAGTCCCTCTGGGTACTTTGGGGCCAAAGTATATTCTATTTGGGTACATGGGCCCTTAGGGCCAGAAGGGCTCGTTCAAGGGATCTACATCAGAGTGAATTGCAACCGTAGGGGGTTTTGTAGGGTTTTAGCATTTGGGGCGTTGGGTGTCTGGTGCTTTTGGGTGTCAGGACTCATATACCCTTGGGCTTGTTTTTCGATG